AGGCGCCGAGCCTAAAGACAGGGTCTTACTTTATTGCCCTTGGTACTGTACCCTGGTGTCACACTGCTCCCAGCAACCTCCAGCTCTTGGGCTTAGGCAATTCTCTTGCCTCACCCTCCCGAGTAGCTAGGACTACAGGCATCCACCACAATGCCTGGCTAATTTTTTGTTGTTGCAGTTCGGCTGGGCCTGGGTTTGAACCCACTACCCTTGGTATATGGGGCCAGTGCCCTACTCACTGAACCACAGCGCTGCCCTCCTAAGACATTTTAACAAGAAATGATCAAGTTAAGAAGGAGAATCTGTTTTTATGTAGCTCACTAGTCTCTTTCCTTAAGGAATAAATAGATGCTTGTAGTCCCCCCTTCCTTCCCTTTGTTCATCTAGTTTATGATGAGGTCATTGAAAAAAAGTGTTCAGATAAGTAACTTACTGATTTCTGGGCTAGAGATGGTTTGAAGCAAGTTTCCCATATTCTGTGACACCAGAGATTCACGGACACCATCGTGAAGTGAATCCAGCCAGCATAATGACCAGGGTAGTCTACATTTCCAAGAGGAGAAATAAAATTATGAGAAGATAAAGTGATACAGGCACAGAACCTCCAAATGAGCATAACAGAGAGAGTTAATAAATATTTAAGGATAGTGGAATTAGGTGGCTTAGCAGCAGCTAAGCTTTGTGTATGTATGTAAAGAATGTGAAAAAGTTTTTGCACAAATATTTTCGGCTCTCTATGAATCTGCCAGGGAATATTCATCCATTCAGTGAATATTTGAGTGGCAGCTGTGTTCCAGGCGTGTGTTAAGTGTTAGTAGTCTCAGCACAATAGAAGCTCTTGTGATTTATGAATTATAATTTAGTGAGAAAAGTAGATGATTGGAATAATAATAAAATGTGATGACTGGTGATAGGGGAAGTATGTTTAGCCTATTTAGTGCTGCCCCATAGTAGTGATTTGTTATAAGCTATTTGTTTTCAAAATGTTTACCCTTAAAAATATTACATATGTGGAAGTTTATGACATATAATTTACCGTTGGATTGACAGATGTGTTTTCTGTGCTCCAAGTGTGATCATTGTCTCTTAGCAAATGAGAGCTAGGGCAGCTGTACTGTATCCTCTTGGTTAGTGTGCATTCAACTCGTGCTTTTTTCATAAACTTTCTGCTTTACCCTTCTCATTCGAATGTCCATCTCCTTTCATTTATTTTGTATTCTGAGGAACTCTTTTTACCCTTGACAGTTAATAAAACATTACAGTGATAATCTGGATTTAGAGCAGAAACATTACCAACAACTCCAGAACTATTTATCTTACTAGATGTTAAGAACATGGTAGAAGAAATGACATGCAGATCAGAAAGCTACTGGGGATTGGTTGAAGTCTTTGAACATTACAGAGGATGTTCTGAACTTGGTAGGAGAACTTGTGTGATTGGAAATTACACAAAATACAGCTCCAAACATGTCCCTATTTGACTAAATTTGATGACTCTACAGGAAAGACACCCTTAGAACTCTGACTAGGTTTGTGGTTCCAGGAAGGCTTCCCCGGTACTAATAGTGTCAGTCCTGCTTCATTGGCGTTTGTGTATATTGAGTGCTGGGGGAGTACAAAAAGGGAGCCTTGAAGCAGAGTTCCAAGGGTGTGTGACCTGAAGAAATAGTAAGGATTAGCAAGGCAAAAGGAAGTGGGAATGGAGAGTATGAATCTTGCAAGAAAAAACAATTGACTAGGGTTATGATAAGAGTGTTTGACATAGTTTATCTGGATATAAAGAGTTGGCAGTTGCAGAACAAAGAATTTTTACTTACTGTGGACAAGATGTGACCTATTTAGCTATATGTTCTTACGATAAAGAATCGATATTTTTTGATCTATGTTCTATCTTCACATGACAAACTACTAATTTCTTTAGGCACTATCACATGTGACAGTGCTATGGATGTATATTATTTTATAGTAACCCAAATTTTGATGAATTGAAGTTTAGAAAATTTATCTGGAGATACGGTGAAATGGTTTGTGGTTTATTGTTTGGTAAATGTTTGGTAAATTGTTTGGTAAACAATGTTTATTGTTTTGGTATATTTACCAAATATACCAAATTTATAACACTTTATTCTAATACTATGTGATAGTGTCTTTATAATAAATGGTGTTTTAGTGACTTTTGAGGTATTCTAATGACAGTACCAGAAATCATCCACATGATTCAAGGATGGTTAGCAGCAAAATGGGTTATCCTTTTGCTCATCTACTGTGAATTTAGTTCTCTAAATTTGCTTGCCTTATGTAGAAAGTGTTAAAGTGCTATTCAATTTTCCATTTTAGTTGTCCCTTAAGTGATTATGTATTCTAGTAAACAGTCTCAAAGTTTTTAAGGTCTGTTAACATTTACCATAATTTGTTTTGAAGAAAGAAGTTTGGGAATTAATAGTTATGTGTTTGACCTTTTTTGTTTGTTTTTATTTTTTTTAAACCCTGTTTATATCTAGTAATTTAGGTTCCCAGCCAAAGTATCAGTTTTTTACTTTTTCCTATTTCCATGAGTATTTTTGAAGTTTATGTCTGGTACTTACTTGAATCATATACTGTATTACATTCTTTAAAAAACTATTTTACAAACTGTCATATCTCCAATTTCATTGGAAATTTCTGAAAGTTTCATGAATTCATTTTAGTTAATACAATGTTTAGTAATGATTTGGAAATATTTCTTAGGGACTTATTTTAATAAAGTTTTAGCTAAATGGAATTTTAAACTAAATAGTTTTTTTTTTCCTTTTGCTTCTTTTTAGTGAATTAGTACCATCTTATGATTCAGCTACTTTTGTTTTAGAAAATTTCAGGTAAGACTTCTTAATAATTGTTTATTTTGTATGTATACTTAAAGAAGAGCCAGGAAGATACCATCTCTTGGTAGGACACAAGATACGATGAAATCAATTTAGTAGACATGGAAGAAACAAGTATTTTATTAGAAACAGTTTATTTATCTGGATCATTTATGTCTTTACAAATGATTACTTCTCTAGTCTGGGAAAAGGAGCCTTTTTTTTTTTTTTTTTTTTTTGAGACAGAGTCTCACTCTGTTGCCCTCAGTAGAGTGCAGTGGCTCACAGCTCACAGCAACTTCTAACTCTTGGGCTTGAGTGATTCTCTTGCCTCGGCCTCCCGAGTAGCTGGGACTACAGGTGCCCGTTGCATTGCCTGGCTATTTTTTGTTCCAGTTTCTGCTATTGTTTTAGCTGGCCAGGTTTGAACCTGCCACCCTCAGTATGTGGGGCTGGCACCCTACCCACTGAGCCATAGCCGCGGACCAAAAGGAGCCATTTTAAAGACGAGGGTTCATGTAGGTTTTGCCAGGACAGGGAGCTAGGAAATCTAGAGCTTAATCAGCCCCTGCCTATCCATCCTCAGAAATAAAAGTGATGGGAAGAAGTCCACTGAGATCCATAGCATCTAGCTGAAAGTGAGGAATTGTGGCCAGAAGGCTATTACTGCAAGAAATTTGTAAGGCTTTTGACGTTACACGTTAATTTTATTAGCATTTTCTCGAGGCAGTGCCTGTGGCTCAAAAGGTTGGGGCGCTGGCCCCATATGTCGGAGGTGGCAGGTACAAACCAAACTCCGGCCAAAAACTGCAAAAAAAAAAAAAATTTTTATTAGCATTTTCTCTAAGATCAAAAGCAAACATCTTAAAACACAAAGTTCTGAGGGACTTTAATTCAAGGGCAGCATGAAAGTGGGTACAAGGTTTTGTACCTTATAAGAATACAAGGTCTTAGGGAGGGAAACTCCAAATAGGCAATAGCGATTAAAATAAGACCATACTGTGAGAGTTTATGCCCTCCCCCCTTTTAGTTTATCTCTTTTTACAGATAATTTTGTGGCTAAAGTCTCTCTGAGGTTTTCCCCACATATCTTAAAATTTAGCCCATGTTCTTTTATTTTTCCATATTAAAAGAAGATAATAATACTGCAGGGAAATGAGGAAGAAACACATTCCAGGTTTTGGGATGTTTTCTTTTATGGTGAAAGGCTACTTGAAGCAGTAATTAAATTTGGGATACTTATCGATGCTATGCTTTTCCCTTAAATGTCACAGTTCTAAGGGGTTTATCCCTAAAAATTAAAAGATAGTGGATATTTCAGTATTGTTTTTATTTATTTCAAAATGTAACTATGTCTAAACTTACACAGTGGGATGTATTTCACAGCAATTTTGATCTTGAGTTTTTTTTTTTTTAAAGCACTTTGCGTCAGAGAGCAGATCCTGTTTACAGTCCACCTCTTCAAGTTTCAGGACTTTGCTGGAGGTTAAAAGTTTACCCAGTAAGTTTTTAGTATTTCTAATACATTTTGAAAGCAGTATCCTGGGGGGGAGGGGAGCTATGGTTTAGTATACCAACCACTTCACTTTTTAGTGGAGTAAAGAAATTAAAGTAATAATTTTATATTTCTTTTTTTTTTTTTTTTGAGACGGAGCCTCAAGCTATCCCCCTGGGTAGAGTGCCATGGCATCACGCTCACAGCAACCTCCAACTCCTGGGCTCAAGCGAGTCTCCTGCCTCAGCCTCCCAAGTAGCTGGGACTACAGGCGCCCGCCACAATGCCTGGCCATTTTTTGGTTGCAGCCATCATTGTTGTTTGGTGGGCCTGGGCTGGGGATTCGAACCCGCCACCTTAGGTGTATGTGGCTGGCGCCTTAGCCGCTTGAGCCACAGGCGCTGAGCCAATTTTATATTTCTTTATGGGGTATTTAACTAAATCTATGGGAAAATGAGTTAAATATGAACAGTGAATGCTGACATATTAACTTTTATTTCAGGTTTGTAGAAAGATATTTGCTTTAGAACAAATGTTTAAAGTTATTCTTTTAAAAAATCGTTTTAGGAGACTGAGGTGTTGGCTTATGCCTGTAATCTTAGCACTCTGGGAGGCTAAGGTGGATGGATTGCTTCACCTCACAAGTTCAAGAGTGGCCTGAGAAAGAGCGAGACCCCATCTCCACTAAAAATAGGAAAAAACTAGCTGGGTATGGTGACAGGTGCTACTCAGGAAGCTGAGGCAAGAGGATATCTTGAGCCCAAGAGACTGAGGTTGCTCTGTGAGCTATGATGACACCATGGCACCCTACCCAGGGTGGCAGAGTGACAGAGTGAGACTTTGCCTCAAAAGAAAAAAAGTCCAGGCTCAGTGGCTCATGGCTGTAATCCTGGCACTCTAGGAGGCTGAGACAGATAGATAGCCTGAGCAAGAGTGAGACCCTCTCTCAAAAAAAAACAAAACAAAAAAACCAGGTATTGTGGCAGGTGCCTATGGTCCCAGTTACCTGGGAAGCTGAGGCAAGAGAATTGCTTCACCCTAAGAATTTAAGGTTGCTGTGAGCTATAATGCAACAGCACTCTCCTGAGGATGATAAAGTGAGCCTCTGTCTAAAAAAAAAGGTATTTCTTGTTTTTCTGCTGGCATTAGTTAAAAAATAAAAGGAAAAGAAAATTTTAATATAATTGATAAAGATCAGGGGCCAACAAAAATGTTCATTTCTTTTTACTCATTAATTGCACTCTAGAAAAATTTTTGTAGGAGTAAATAAAATTCAGCAGAAAATTCTAAGCTGTTTTAACAAGAATACCAGTTGAATTTGAAAATCAGTATAATTGGCTTGGCACCTGTGGCTCAGGCGGCTAAGGCGCCAGCCACATACACCTAAGGTGGCAGGTTCGAATC